TTAATAGTTATTTTAGGAATATCGCATAATTGGTAAAACCCCCACTAAATTTGCTGTTCTTCCCCACCAACCATTTGATGACGTCACCTCAAAGATTCTAATTTAATTTGACTCTCAAGACTCTCCATCGCTATTAGCAGATTCTGTGTAAATTGTTGTAAACTGTAAACCTGTGCCCGTTCAAGCATAAATAAGTCTCGATGGTAGCATTTGTTCTTGTTAGCGACGCCTACATGTAGATTACATTTACTTTCACAGTTACAAATATCGCATTGACTTGAAAGGTTTCCAGCTCTGCTTGGAGTCATGACCAACGCAAACGTCTACATCATTGAAAATCAATAATGAACGAAATTACTGTATGCAGAGTTATTCATAATACAAGTGATAATTAAAAACTGCCGACCTTATGTGTGGTATCACAAATCGCAAAGGGCTGTAAACTGTTGATCGTAAAATTTATAATTCACGGAATTAATGGTCGGATTTTATCTGTTAAGTTCATTCTCATTATCTCTTTTCTCTTCATGTTTGTCATGGTTTCAGACCTGGATTTAGTGCAACAGTCGACGTTAAGCTATTAAATGTAAAGATTATTCTCATACTGCATTACCCGGATAACCAATTTTACTAGAATTTCTGGCGCAGCTTTATCATCAAAGAATAATAGCAGTCTATCAGGAACCTGTTCCCCGGAATTAGATCTGCGGAACACGGTAGAACACTACGGGCACGCCATCACGAAGATAAAATTGTGAGGACATCTTCAAAATAATGAGACATACGGCACTTAAGCCGTAAATATTTTCGAAGCATGGCGACGCTTAAGCCTCAATGTCGTTAGTTTACAATTAAACCCGGAACGCAATACCAGCCCGTACTGCAATTAAATCCAAAATTTACACATGTCGTTCTCTTGTTTGTTTTTACTTCCGGTGCCGCAAATTAAACAGACTTCCAATCACTTAGCAAGAAATCTCATCTGCTGGGAAATAAGTTTGCACGTACAGAGCCACGCTTTAACCTGATTATAAGCCAATTTCGCTATATTTCGATAAGCCGGGGAAAATCAAAAGCATAAATCGTCATTAAATCCAAAGCTAATTGGTGATGCGGCCGATTCCAGCTAACAATGCTCGCGTCGAACTTAGCAGTTGACGTCTGCATTGAATTTTATCGACAATTTAATTAGGATTTCTTTGTGGCTGGGCGAATATCGAACACCGTCAACAATCGATATTTTCGGAGGAACGAACCTGGAATTTACATTCGCAGATTTCACTTCGCACATTTATCTCTCGTATCGTCATAAGTGAATTTATGCCTTGAAACCGGATGTATTTTACAGACGCTTTACTGATGTACTATAAAAGTTATAGATGGCCCAATAAATCCGTTATGAAGTAGAGAGCTGATTTCACGCGTAATTTACCACCAAGGGCGCCCAAATTCTGTTAATTAATTCCAAGATTTTTCGTGCTGTTCGGAGGCATAATATGTAATGAAAAGGTTGCGGGTTATTGCATTCGGGGCATATTAATGAAGTCTCTGTGTGTAATTATTTCGCTAATTGTGGAATAATGTTGAAATGTTCAATGCATGTATTAACTTCTCTAATTAAGCGAAGGGGTTTTTGTTGTGGCTAAAACAGGGGCGGCGGTGTCGGGGGGCACAAGGCAAAATTACAACATCTACAAACACTCGACACAGCAAAATAGTAATTTTCAATATTTAAAAAACTATACGAAATTTGTGTCATAATTATCAAAACTATTTTTTTAAGTATCAAATTATGACTTTTTTAGACGTTTTGTTTACACCGTTGCCATGGAAACCGCGCGTCTAGTCTAGTCTCTAGTGGAAAATTTTGACAATAAAGTGTTAAATATTTTTGTGGGGTCTGTATTAAATAAAAACTTGAAGATTATTGTGTATGTATTGCGACTTGTATTTATATAAATTCTTAAATTCTATGAAAAAATCAGACGTTTCTATATCACATCATCAATGTAAAATTTTGACAGAAGGCAAAAGGTATTTGGATAAATATTTTTTTAGTTTTATTGATGAATCCTTGTCGAGTTTTCACTCTAGACATCTGCTCTAAAATCTTGCAAACATTTACTTACTTCCGACCAATTTTTTTATATCACAATTTTTCGTTTTTCCTTTTTCTTCGATTTTACATTTTTTTATTTTCTTTCATTTTTCAATTTTTCAGTTTCTTAATTTTTTATTTTTCAATTCTTCATTTTCTCAATTTTTCAAGTTCTTAATTTTGATTTTTCATTTTTCCGTTTTTATAACACAATTTTTCGTTTTTTCGTTTCCTTCATATTTGATCTTCGATTCTTCGGTTTTCCAATTTTAAAATTTGGGTTTTTTGGTTTTCCGGTTTCTTTGATTTTCAATATTTCGACTTTACAATATTTCGAATTTTCAATTTTCCCATTTTTTTCATTGGAAAAGTTGAAATAACGGAAAATTGAAAAATGAATAATCGAGAAACTTAAAATCGAAAAAAAGTTGAAAAATTGAAAAGAAGAAAAAACCAGTCAAATAAAAAGATTGGAAAACACAAAAATTGTGACATCGAAAAATTATGGAATCGTCAAAATTGTAAAATCGGAAATTTGTATCATTGAAAGATCGGAGAATTGAAAAATAAAACACCGTTAAATTTAAAGAGTGAACAATTTTAAAAGTTATAGTTATTAGGTATATATTTGAAATAAAAACTTGAAAGATTGTAGTTTAAAAATTAAAGAACAAAAAAAATTGAAAACTGAAAAGTTGGAAATCGAAAGATTGAAAAATCCAAAAATTGTTTTTTCCTAATTTCTGATTTTTCGATTTTTCAATTCTTCATTTCCTCAAATTTCCAAGTTCTTGCTTTTTCATTTCTCCGATTTTTTAGTTTTCATTTTCACGTTTTATATCACTTTTTCGTTTTTTCATTTATTTTCTTTATTTTTATGTTTATTTCGATTTAGTTTTTCGTTTATTCAATTTTTCACATTTTCAGTCTTTGATTTTCGATTCCTCGGTTTACCAATATTTTTAAAATTATCATTTTTGCAATTTTTGGATTTCTCGATTTCCTAGTTTCTTTGATTTTCAATATTTCGACTTCACATTATTTCGTTTCTTCGAGTTCTTGATTTCCATTTTTTTTATTCAAGAAGTTGAAAAATTCAAAAATGGAAAAAATAAAAAAATCAGAAAAGATTGAAAAAGTCGGAAAAGTGGAAACATTGAAAAACTAATAATCGAGAAACTTAAAAATCGAAAAATTGGAAAGAAAAAAAACGAAGCGAATCAAAAAATTACAAAACCCAAAAATTGTGAAATCGAAAAATTATGGAATCGTCAAAATTGTTAAATCTGGGAAGATCGAAAAATTGAAAAATTAAATATTGAGAAACAGAAAAAAAATAAAAATCGAAAAATTCAAAATCGAGAAGTTCAAAAATCGAATAAATGAAAGTTTTAAAATCAAAGAATTGAAAAATAAAACCGTAAAGTTGAAAGAGTGAGAAATTAAAAAAAAAATTATTAGGTACGTATTTAAAATGAAAACTTGAAAAATCGAGAAACTGAAAAATTTTAAATTGAAAAAATAAATAAAAGTCCAAGACTTGTTTTTTTAGTTTCGGATTTTTCGATTTTGAACTTTTTCGATTCTTAAATTTTTCAATTTTTGATCTTTCGAATTTTCATTTTTTTGTTGCTTCAAGTTCTTGATTTCCATTTTTGTTTTGTTTTACAACTTTGTAATTTTTCCATTTTTTTAATTCGAAAAGTTGGAAAATCGAATCTAAAAATTGGAAAACCCAAAAATTGTAAAATCGCAAAAATAATCGTCAAAATTGTAAAATCGGAAAATTGTGTCATTGCAAGATCGAAAAATTGAAAAATTAAATATTAAGAAACCGAAAAAATAAAATCGAAAGATTGAAAAATCGAATAAACGAAAAAGTTTTAAAATCCAAGCATTGAAAAATAAAACCGTAGGTAAAATTGCAAATTGATTGAAAGATCCAAAAATTGATTTTTTTTAATTTCCAATTTTTCGATTTTTCAATTATTCGTCTCCTCAATTTTCCAAGTTCTTTTTCTTTTCCCCGATTTTTTAATTTTCATTTCATTTTTAATTGACAATTTTTCGTTTTTTCTTTTTCTTTATTTTTCAATGGTTCTTTCGATTTCAGTTTTTTTAATTTCCCGGTTTTCCAGGCTTTAAATTTTTTTATTTTTGTATTTATTTCCGTTCCACAATTTCGTCTATTAATTGGTAATAACAGCCTGTTTTATATCTTCATATTTCACTCATCAATCAAATTCAAAAGGTCACCGCCAAAACTCCTTCAAATTTGAAAAACTAAATTAGCCTTAGAGCTTGATTTATTAATTCGCAGTATATCGTTGCCAAGAAAATAAGAGTTGAGTTAACCGCGAAAAAGCCGTTTGATGTATATGAAACTAGTGAAATAGGCCGCCATAAATGCAAACCGCCGTATAAAAAGGAAATTCCCTCGGCGGTTGTAAATTCATGGCTCGCTCGAACAAGAGGAGTTCGTTTCAAAATGGGATATCATTGTTAATTCTTGAATTAGCAATTAATTGAAGGGCGTTATTGGAGCAGCCTTCGCAGAATGAATATTCGTCGTAGGGTCCTTCATAAAATATTCACGGCCTTCCAGGTTACGAACGAAGTAAGGGAAAACGGGCGCTTTTTCGTTTTTGCCGACCAGCTCTTCCCATGTAGAATTATATTAGTTTTTTTTATATATCGGAAGGCGAAAGTAAATTGCCGGTTTTATTTTATTCGACGTAATGAATTTAACAGAGATTTTTTCGGGAGATCCGTCTGGCGTTCGCACCGCAATAATATCCCGTAATCCCACGCCTCCACTTCGGCTTCCAATTGTGCTCGTAACCAAAACTTAGCATTACACGGCACGAAATCACTATATAATAATGTATTCGTTTAATTCCAGATTTCCCTCGCGTCGAAGTTGGTCCGGAGAACCCCTTGAGGGTCGAGCGCGACTCTCAAGCCACCTTACAATGTTCGGTTGACGCCAAACCGAAAGTTTCCGGAATCCGGTGGACCCGGAACGGACGTTTCATTAGCACATACAACAACCACGTGATCCATCGCGTCAGCATCCAGGACGCGGGGAAGTACACGTGCAGCGCCGAGAACGGCCTGGGCAAAGTGGGGGAGAAGGAGATCACCCTAGACGTCCTTTACGCGCCGATAGTCACCTTGGAGGCTAAAACAAAGGAGGCGGAGGAGGGCGAATCCGTGTACATTAAGTGCAACGTGACGGCCAACCCCACGCCGGTTACCATAGAATGGGTCAAAGATGGCCAGCCGGATTTCCGACAGTCGGGAGACACCTTGAGACTGAGTCACGTGTCGGCGGAGAACTCGGGCACCTACATCTGCAGGGCAGTGAACATCATCAGCCCCAGCTCGCCGCCGCTGAGGAGGAACGAGAAGATCGGAAACTCCTCCATCGCCCTTTTGATCAGGTACGGTTCGTCACACTATAAGATAGTTCTCTTAGTGAATTATACCGGCCACTATTGTTCCGTTCACAAGCAACTTATACTTATTAAAACGTTATTAAGGACAACGTAAAGAAAAATTGTCACGTCATATCAAGTCAGGTCATGTCAAATCAGATTATGTCAAGTCAGGTCACCTCAAGTCAGATCATATCAACTGAAAAATGTGTAATTTTTCTATGCCAGAAAATCTAATTTTGATTTGATTAATTATAAAATTCGGAATTTCGAACAAAAATTGCTTCTAAATTTGAGTAATTTTCCTAAAGTTCCAATTCTGAATCAAACATTTTATAATTTAAAGGTAGTTAAAAAAATAAACAGCCAATCAGATTTACGAATTTAACCCATTACTATGGAAATTTGCAATTTCACACCCTTTAAATTTAACAAGTTCGATCCAGCATTGACCTAATATCAATTTGTTGAAAAATTAGTGCGAAAATTTCTAGAAAAAATATGCTTTTGTCATTATACTCTCTTAAGTTTAATTAGACAAGAATTCCAATTCCAAAAAAATTTCAGGATAAATTATTATTCGTATTCCTGTTAGGAGACTCCAATAGCCTTCAATTTACTTTAAAAACTAGATATATGAAGTCCTCGAGATTCTTTCTAATTATTTCAAAAACAATACAAGGGATCCGCGAAATCCTTTCAAACTAGTTCAAAAATAAAACCGAATGGGATCCCAAGATTTTTTCAAACTACTTCAAAAGCAAAACAAAAGGGATCACCGAAATTTTTTCAAATTACTTCAAAACGAAGACAAGCAATCCCTAAAATCCGTTCAAACTACTTCAAAAACAAAACACAAGGAATCCAAAAGATTCTTTCAAATTACTTCAAAAACAAAACTAAACACAAGGGGTTCCCGAGTTTCTTTGAAACTACTTCAAAAACAAAATGCAAGAGGTCCCAGAGATTTTTTCAAATTACTTCAAAAACAAGACGCACAGGAGGTCCGCGAGATTCTTTCAAAACTACTTCGAAAACAAAACACAAGGGGTCCCCGAGATTCTTTCATACTACTTCAAAAACAAAACCCATAGAGGAGATTCTTTCAAATTACTTAAAAACAAAACACTAAGGATGCTTGATATACTTTCAAGCTACTTCAAAAACAAAAAGGGATCCCAAGATTCTTTCAAACTACTTAAAAAACTAGACACAAGTGGTCGTCAAGATTGCTTCAAATCACTTCAAAAACAAGGGTCAAGGAGTCTCCGAGATTTTTTGAAACTACTTCAAAACTAAAACATAAAGGGGTGCCCCAGATGATTTCAAATTCCTTCAAATACGAAATTATACATTATTCATGATACAAGAGGTCCTCAAGATTCTTTTAAACTACTTCAAAATTTAGGCTCAAGAGGTCCCTGAGATACTTTGAAACTACTTGAAAATTTAAATATAAAGGGATCGTCAAGATTCCTTCAAACTACTTGAAGAATCAGACCATAAGGGAGCCCCGAGATTCTTTCAAACTACTTCAAAAACCAGAGACAAGGGATCCCCGAGATTCTTTTAAACTACTTCAAAAACCAGACACAAGAGGTCCCTAAGATTCTTTAAAACTACTTCAAAATCAAGCCACAGAAAGATCCCTGATATTTTTTCAAGTTACTTCAAATCCAAAACAAAAGGAATCCTCGATATATTTTCAAACTACTTCAAAAATCAGACGTAAGAAGTCTCCCACGATTTTTTCAAATTACTTAAAACCAGGCACTAAAGGTCCCTGAGATACATTGAAACTACTAGAAAATTTAAATATAAAGGGATCGTCAAGATTTTTTCAAACTAGTTGAAGAATTAGACCACAAGGGAGCCCCGAGATTCTTTCAAACTACTTCAAAAACCAAAGACAAGCGATCCCCGAGATTCTTAAACTACTTCAAAAAGCAGACACAAGAGGTCCGTGAGATTCTTTAAAAATACTTCAAAAGCAAGCCACAGAAAGATCCCTGAGATTCTTTCAAGTTACTTCAAATCCCGAGGACCCGGTGGGTGAGGTGGCTTGGCATCTGCCCACTACACCTTGGGTTGTGGGTTCGATTCCCGCTCTGGCTCTGGGTGTTTTTGTATGTCCCCTTTCCTATAATTGGGCCTCTCGGCCTGTTGGAAAGTAATTATAAAAAAAAAAAATCCAAACCAAAAGGAATCCTCGATATATTTTCAAACTACTTCAAAAATCAGACGTAAGAAGTCTCCCAAGATTCTTTCAAATTACTTAAAACCAAGCACTAGAGGTTCTCAAGATTCTTTTAAATTACTTCAAAATCTAGACTCAAGAGGTCCCTGAGATACTTTGAAACTACTTGAAAATTTACATATAAAAGGATCGTCAAGATTCTTTCAAACTACTTCAAGAATCAGACCACAAGGGAGCCCCGAGATTCTTTCAAACTACTTCAAAAACCAGAGACAAGGGATCCTCTAGATTCTCTTAAACTACTTCAAAAGCAAGCCACAGAAAAATCCCTGAGATTCTTTCAAGTTACTTCAAATCCAAAACAAAAGGAAGCCTTGATATATTTTCAAATTACTTAAAACCAGGCACTAGAGGTCCTCAAGATTCTTTTAAACTACTTCAAAATCTAGGCGCAAGACGTCCCTGAGATACTTTGAAACTACTTGAAAATTTAAATATAACTGGATCGTCAAGATTCTTTCAAACTACTTCAAAAACGAGACACAAGAGATCCCTAAGATTCTTTCAAGTTACTTCGAATCCAAAACAAAAGGAATGCTCGATATATTTTCAAATTACTTCAAAAATCAGACGTAAGAAGTTTCCCAAGATTCTTTCAAATTACTTAGTTAAAACCATGCATTAGAGGTCCTCAAAATTCTTTTAAACTACTTCAAAATCTGGGCTCAAGAGATCCCTGAGATACTTTGAAACTACTTGAAAATTTAAATATAAAGGGGTCGTCAAGATTCTTACAAACTACTTCAAGAACCAGACCACAAGGGACCCCCGAGATTCTTTCAAACTACTTCAAAATCCAGAGACAAGAGATCCCCGAGATTCTTTTAAACTACTTCAAAAACCAGACACAAGAGGTCCCTAAGATTCTTTAAAAATGCTTCAAAAGCAAGACACAGAAAGATCCCTGAGATTCTTTCAAGTTACTTCAAATCCAAAACAAAAGGTATCCTCGATATATTTTCAAACTACTTCAAAAATCAGACGTAAGAAGTCCCCCACGGTCCTTTCAAATTACTTAAAACCAGGCACTAGAGGTCCTCAAGATTCTTTTAAACTACTTCAAAATCTAGGCTCAAGAGGTCCCTGAGATACTTTGAAACTACTTGAAAATTTAAATATAAAGGGGTCGTCAAGATTCCTTCAAACTACTTCAAGAATCAGACCACAAGGGAGCCCCGAGATTCTTTCAAACTACTTCAAAAACCAGAGACAAGGGATCCCCGAGATTCTTTTAAACTACTTCAAAAACCAGCGACAAGAGGTCCCTAACATTCTTTAAAAATACTTCAAAAGCAAGCCACAGAAATGTCCCCGAGATTTTTTCAAGTTACTTCAAATCCAAAACACAAGGAATCCTCGATATATTTTCAAACTACTTCAAAAATCAGACGTAAGAAGTCCCCCACGATTCTTTCAAATTACTTAAAACCGGGCACTAGAGGTCCTCAAGATTCTTTTAAACTACTTTAAAATCTGGGTTGAAGAGGTCCCTGAAGTACACTGAAACTACTTGAAAATTTAAATATAAAGGGATCGTCAAGATTCTTTCAAACTACTTCACGAACCAGACCACAAGGGAACCCCGAGATTCTTTCAAACTACTTCAAAAACCATAGACAAGGGATCCCCGAGATTCTTTTAAACTACTTCAAAAACCAGACACAAGAGGTCCCTAAGATTCTTTAAAAATACTTCAAAAGCAAGACAAAGAAAGATCCCTGAGATTCTTTCAAGTTACTTCAAATCCAAAACAAAAGAAATCCTCGATATATTTTCAAACTACTTCAAAAGTCAGATGTAAGAAGTCTCCTACGTTTTCATATTACTTCAAAAATTAAATAAAAGGGATCTCTGAGATTATTCCAGGCACAAGAGATCCCCAATATTCTTTCAAATCACTTCTAAAACCAGGCAAAAGAGGTCTCCGAGAATTTTTAAAATTACGTCAAAACTGAAACAAAAGCGGTCCTCCAGATTCTTTCAAACTACTTAAAAAACTAGACACAAAGGGTCGCCAAGATTGTTTAAAATCACTTCAAAAACCAGGGACAAAGAGTCCCCGATATTCTTTGAAATTACTTCAAAACTAAAACAGATGCCGTCAAATTATTTCAAAAACGAAATAAAAAGGGTCCCTGGGATTATTCCAGACGCAAGAAGTCCTCAAGATTCTTTTAAACCATTTCAAAATCTAGGCACAAGGGGTCCCTGAGATTCTTTAAAACTACTTGAAAATTAAAATATAAAGGGATCCTCGAGATTTCTTTCAAACTACTTCACAAACCAGACGCAAGAGGTCGCCGAGATTGCTTGAAACTACTTCAAAACTAAAACATAAAGGGGTGCCCGAAATACTTTCAAATTATGTACTTCAAAAACGAAATAAAAGGGATCCCTGATATTATTCCAGATTTTTTTAAACTACTTTAAAATTTAGGCACAAGGGGTCCCTGAGATTCTTTCAGAATACTTAAAAATTAAAATATAAAGCGGTCCTCGAGATTGTTTCAAACTACTCCAAAAACCAAACGCAAGAGGTCCCCAAGATTCTTTCAAATCACTTCTAAAACCGGGTCCTCGAGAATCTTTAAAACTACTTCAAAATTGAAACAAAAGCGGTCTTCAAGACTCTTTCAAACTACTTAAAAAACTACAGAAAGGGGGTCGGCAAGATTGTTTGAAATTACTTCAAAACTAAAACATAAAGGGGACCCCGAGATGCTTTCACATTACGTACCTCAAAAACGAAATAAAAAGGGTCCCTGAGATTATTCCGAACACAAGAGGTCCCCAAGATTCTTTTAAACTATTTCAAAACATCGGCACAAGAGGTATGTGCCTTAGATGCTTTAAAACTACTTCAAATCTTAAAGCGATCCTCGAGATTTTTTCAAACTGCTTAAAAACTAGACACATTTGTTTCAAATCACTTTCAAAAACTAAACACAAGGAATCTCCGAGATTCTTTGAAACTACTTCAAAACTAAAACGTAAAGGGGAGCCCGAGATGCTTTCAAATTATGTACTCCAAAAACGATTTGAAAGGGGTTCCTGAGATTATTCCAGACACAAGAGGTCCTCAAGATTCTTTTAAACTACTTCAAAAAATTGGAAAAAGGGGTCCCTTAAATCCTTTGAAATTACTTGAAAATTAAAATATAAGGTGGTGGTAAAAAACTTACCTACGGCATCTTGAAATTTTGCCAAAATCGATCGTAGTTTAGCGGGTACTAACCCCGCCCACCAACCCTCTCTTTTCTTAGAAGGTATGCCATTTGCCAAAATCAGTCTTATCTTAGCAGGTACTAGACGCGCCCACCCACCCTCTCTTTTCTTAGAAGGTATGTGATTTCCCAAAATCAGTCTTATCTTAGCACGTACTAGCCCCGCCCACCCACCCTCTTTTTTCTTAGAAGGTATGTGATTTGCCAAAATCAGTCTTATCTTAGCAGGTACTAGCCCCGCCCACCCACCCTCTCTTTTCTTAGAGGGTAAGTCATTTCCTAAAAATCAGTTTTTGAAATATAATTATTTCAAGGGGGATTCTTAAGATTGTTTCAAAGTACTTCAAAAAACAGGCACAAGAAGTCCCCGAGATTCCTGGAAACATTTTCAAGACTAAAACAAAAGTTGTTCCCTAGATTCTTCAAGAGTTACTCCAAAAGCAAAACACAAATTGTTCCCGGGAGGGGGGGTTGATCGTCAGTTTTTCGTTCTCTCTGTATCCTATTCTTCTCTTTTTTTTTTCTTGTTTTTCTTATTTTCCTTTTCCTTTCTTAGATATCCTTCCCTTCTTGACCTGACCTGACCTGACCTGACCGGATTATCGAAATCAAATTATTACGACCATCGAATTGATAAGTATGGGAACAACAAAAAAACATCTATCAGTACCCACTAAGATAAGAATAACAAATATTTTTCATGTGTTTTGCTTAAAAAATATTAATGCATTGATAAATGGTAAGGTTACGCTTGTGTTTCTATCGAGTTTTCATATTTCAAAATGGGAAAAGGACGCGTATGGCAATTCCGACACGTGCAGTGTAATACTATTTATAAAACACTGGGGCTACGGTTCTTGAAATCTGATCAATAAACAATAAAAAAAATCATTTAAAAATAGAATCTTTTCAGATTACGTCATCAAATTGCTGGTGGGAATGATTAGTCAAATTTTGTTGATATATAAAATCACCAAGAACTGGAGGCCTAATCAGCCTACTTGAATTTTGGTCGATTCTAATTATTTATTAACGCTGTTTGTATGTTGGCAGGCATAAGCCGGGGAAGGCGAGGATCATGCCGGACAAGCCCGTGGCCACCGAGGGCTCCGCCGTGACGCTGACGTGCACCGCGACGCCTCCGGGCTGGCCGGCGCCCCAGTACCGGTGGTTCCGGATCGGCAGCGACGGACAGCCCACCATCTTGGCAACCGGGACTAAGTACACAATCTCGAACGCGAATCTGGGCACCGAAGGGGTCTATAATTGCCAGGCTACTAATGAATTAGGTCCCGGTGAGATGGCTTCCGTCAATTTAGAAGTCCATCAGCCCCCGAGCTTCAAGTATCAATTAAAACCTTTGGAAACTAAACGTGTCGGTGATCCCAATTTCTCCATGACCTGCAGCGCGAAAGGTAAACCGAAACCGATGGTTAAGTGGCTGAAGGATAACGAGGAACTCACTGCCGACGTGAATATGTATGAAGTCAAGACTGATTATGCCGAGAGTCATAATGGCGCCGTCATCGTACAGAGTGTTTTGAAATTCAGCGGAAAAGCGCGACCTAATGGAAACGAATTGTTGCCCAGCGATCGAGGGATTTACACGTGCTCCTTTGAGAACGAGGTCAAAAAGTCCGAGTCCAGCATGCACCTGAAGATTGAACGTAAGTTCTTGGGCGCTAAATCAAATTTACGCGCATGCAATTTTTATCCGGGGAGATTTTTCGCATTTCGAATTCCTAACTAAATACAAAGTTGTAAATTACAGCAGGGAAGGTATAACATGTTTTATGGAACAAAGGAAGTGCGTGTCCGAATGGATTTTATCGAATTTCGGCGGTCCTACTTTTATTATTTTCGTAACAAGTAATTATGGGACTGAAGTTTATTCAATGGATTATTTAAAATATAATGGGCGACTTTTGCTTCAGTCACTCGGTGTAAATAAATCAGAAATATTAGATGTCGATAGCGTGGTGAACTGAGGCGCTATTTATAATTAATTATCGACGTTAATAATTATTATAATTGAAGCTGGAGCAAACTATCGAGGGCGAGATTTCCAACATAACCTCACACACTGGGTCTAAATTTACAAAAATGAATAAGAAAATGACACAATACAGTTACAGTATAGTATTTCAAGGATTTGTAGGAAAATGTTTCAACAAATATCGATTAATGCTAAATTCCTCTCAGAAGCGATTTGTTACAGTTCGGAGTGGTTTACGACGCTAGTAATAGTATCTCAACTGCCAACTTGAAAGGTTAAATGCCGATTAAGCAATAACATCCATTTATTATATCTACATCCTATATAAAACATTCCTTCAGAGCAAACGGCTGTTTTGAACTTTCGTCGTGGATTCTTTCGTTTCAAGATTCCGCATCGACTAATGATTTCAAAGTTGAGATTTAGTTTGAGCATTCTGAATGCAAATAATGGCCTCAGTTCTCGACTTTATTAACCTAAATGCCTTTTTTGTTTCTTACCCCATTAGCAGCGAGCTTTATTACGTAACTGCATTTCCTTTGATTTCCGTAAAATTGTTCACTATATTCCAAGGCCGAGCCGTGTACTTTACATACATCTTGTTCTTTCTTGGAAATTGCGTTATCAGCAGCGATAAATCTCTTTCCAGATGAACCGATCGTCCTTCATCAATACAACAAAGTCGCCTATGACATCTCCGAAACTGCTGAAGTTGTGTGCAAAGTTCTCGCCTACCCGAAACCCGAATTCAAATGGTTTTATGGTTCGCATCCTACACCTCTTCAATCATCCTCCGAAGGCCATTACGTCATCCACACGAGCATGGAAGAGGACACATTCACCAGTGTGCTACGCATTTCCGACATAAAGAAATCCGATTACGGCGATTACAACTGCCAGATCGTCAACAACTTGGGAAAGATCGAGACTAAGATTCGTTTGCAGCCCAAAGGTCCACCTGAGAAACCGTCCAAGCTGGTGTCCCTTCACACCGGCCCGAACTTCGTCACCCTCGGCTGGGAGCCCGGTTTCAACGGCGGCATCTCCAACACCAAGTACTTCGTCTCGTACAAGAAAGTCCCCGGTGATGAAGACCTCATGGTCGAGGGATGCGGGACCGTGTCGAAATCCACGGATTGGTCGGAAGTTGATTGCCAGCAGAACGTCCCCTGCAACGTCTCGCATTTGGACCAGCATCAGACCTATTTGTTTAAGGTTAAAGCGCTGAATACCAAGGGGAACAGCGAGCACTCGCAGGAGATTCGTCTAACGACGAGGGTCGACCGGATCCCTCTTCCTCAAAGGGTGGCCTACGACCCGTCTTCGCACACTGTGTCGATTAACGTTCCGGTTACTTGTCTGCCTCTCGTGGCGGTTATTGAGACCGTTAGCAGCGACAGTCACCCGATTCCTATATGGCAAGCCGTCGAAACTATTCCTTTGCAAGTTTCGGGCATTTCCCCTACGTACAAGGAAGCTAATTTGGACCAGTTGGGCAGGAGCTACAAAGGACGTTCGTTAGTGGACGAACCCATCGGTGTTAATGATAACTACACCCCCAGAGTGGGGGTGAAGTTGTGCTTGAGAACCCGTCAGGAACACTGCGGGGAGTTCGTCGAAGCGGAGCGTGAGTATTTATCAGTTTGTTTTTGGTATAAACAAGATCTAATCCGGTTAGGGCCCGTGTCAACAATCTTCAACTGTAATTACGACGCGCCCCAGCCGAACGGGAAAATCCGCAAAAATTTACGCCAAATGAAATACGAGGGCCGATAATTTTTGAGAACAAAAAAATTTAGAACAGGATGATACCCATTGGAAAAGAAAGAAAATATAACAAAAATAAAAGAAAAAATAATTTACGGGCGATCTGAGGTCGGAAAGGAAAGAACGTGAGCTTTTAAGGGTAGAAAACGGTTTATCACGATTTCCGGCAAAACTACAAGTCCTATCGGAAAAAGTTAAACGGCAAAGTTCTAGGTAATAAAAGGATCTAGAACTTTTGTATTTAGACTTTTTTTACATAACCTCAAAATTTATGCGAAAAATGCAAATAACCGAGTTTGCCTTTTTTTCTTAACATATATAGCTTTCTTTCTTATAGAAAATACGTACTTAAAATATGAAAGGGTGAATTTGAGGTTAGAATTGTTATTATTTTTTTTTTAAACATAAGGAATTTTCAGGTTTTTATACCACATTCATTTCCTTTATTTTATTCAATGTTTCTTTTGATTTTATAATTTAATTCTTCATTTTATATTTTTTCATTTTTTAATTTTTGATAATCCAATTTTAAAATTCTTCACATTTTTTCCAGTTTTTTTATTCGAGATGCTGAAAAATCGAAAAGTTTCAAAACCTAAAGCTTGGAACATCTAAAAATTGAAAATTCGAGAACTCGAGAAATTAAAAAATATCAAAAATTAAAAATCGGTTAAGTTGGAAAATTGAAAAATTGGAAAGCGACAAATTGAAGAAATGAAAAATCGTAAATTTTTGTAGGGAAATATGGATTTTGCAATTATGCTCCGCCCCTCGGTCTGACAACGAATGAAAATTCGTCACATTCGAGATAGGGGCGGGCGGGTGGGGCTTAATCTTGGTTTTTTTTCTTAAGATATATAGTTTTCTTTCATCAAAAGAATACGTACTTAGAATATTAAAGTGTGAATTTGAGGTTATAATTATTTTACTATTTTTTTTAAACAAAAAGAATTTCCACGTTTTTATCTCACAATTTTTCGTTTTTTCATTTCCTTTATTTTATTCAATGTTTCTTTCGACTTTATAATTTTAAAGTCTTCATTTTTTAATTTTTGATAATCCAATTTTAAAATTCTTCACATTTTTTCCATTTTTTTTTATTCGAAATGTTGAAAAATCGAAAAATTTCAAAATCTAAAGCTTGGAACACCTAAAAATTGAAAATTCGAGAACTCGAGAATAAAAAAACATAAAAATTAAAAAATTGACAATTTGAAAAATCAAAAACTGGAAAATTCAAAAGTAGAAAAATCGAAGTTGGAAAAATGGAAAAACTAAAAAATCGAAACATTGAAAAAATATAATTTGGGAAACTTCAAAATCGTAAAAAGTTAATAAATCGTAAAATTGGAAACACGAATCGACTCAAAAAAAATGGAAAACTCAGAAATTACAATGAAAACTAGAAAAATTGCAAGCATTAAAAATTGAAAAATTTCACAATGACGAAGAAAAAGAAAAACCGATAAATTTGAAAAAATTAATTATAAAATCGAAACATCCAAAAACCGAATAATTGATAAAATAAAGAAAATAAATCCGAAACGAAAATTTGAAAATTTAAAAACTAAAAACTGGAGAAACTCAGATCGAAAAACTGCAAAATCTAAAAATTGAAAAATTCAAAAGTTGGAAAATTGAAAGTTGAAAACTCGAAAAATTTCAAAATCTAAAGCTTCGAACACCTAAAAATTGAAAATTCGAGAAGTAAAAAAATATAAAAATTAAAAAACCGACAAATTCAAAAGTAGAAAAATCGAAGTTGAAAAATGGAAAAATTAAAAACTGAAAAACTGAAGAAATGAAAAATCGAAACATTGAAAAAATAAAATTTGGGAAACTTCGAAATTGTAAAAAGTTAATAAATCGAAAAATTGGAACCACGAAAACACGAATCGAATCAAAAAAATCAAAAATTAAAATGAAAAGTAGAAAAATGGCAAATCTACAAATTGAAAAATCCAAAAATTGAAAAATTTCACAACGAAAAAGAAAAACCGAAAATTTTGAAAGTAGAAAAACGGTTGCAAATAGAAAATTTGAAAAATTAAAGAATCGAAAATTTGAAAAATCAAAAAAATTAAAAATAGCAAAATCGAGAAAAATTATGAATCGAATCGAAAATTTGTAAAGCGAATAAATGAAGAAGTTTTAAAATCCAGTAATTGAAAAATGGAAAACTTCTAAAATCGTAAAATTGGAAAAGTGAAACATTTAACAAACTATAATTATCGTTAGACACATATTTAAAATGAAAATTTACCTCCCACAAAAAAGTTTTTTTTTCACGAATTTTGGTGAAAACTTACCTATTTGTGTCCCAAACTCACTGTAATTTTTTTGATCCAAAATATTTATTTTTCCCCCTTATTTTGATTTAATATCGAAAAACCACCCTAATTTTCAATCGAAACTTCTCACGTCAAAATGTTAGCTTTTTTAAAAAAATCGGTGTGCTTTTTGTTGGTTGAAATCTCTACTTTCTGATGGTGTAAAAAAAAGTATACATTACTAGGGCAGATTTTCATAGGAAATCCAAAAAAACGAAAATCTCGAATTCGAATTTTATCAGGTAAAATTTTGAGCTGTTTATTAAAATTTACACTTTAATTACTCGAAAAAAGCAAGAATCCATGTTACACTGATAAACCAATAAATTGAAAATCCATTAAACAAACGCCTTCTGTTGATGGGAGATTTGTCAATATGAAAGATGATTTAATTCTTGCCAATTGATTTTCGAAATCTTGATTGATTCAGTGTTATATTGTCATTTTTACATGTATAAATAGGGATATTTGATTAATTGCAATCCATTTTTTGCAATATCTTCTTTGTTTGCATGTTTTTTTATAAAAAATATTGGCCAAATTTGACAAATTTTTATCGTCTAACTAGCAGACCCAGCAAACGTTGTTTTGCCATATAAATTGTTTCTAGTAAATATTTCAGTAGGTAAATAAAAAACTAAATTAAAATAAATAAATGAATTGTAATTAAATTAAATTATAAATTATACATAAATATTTATCGTACGACAATGATTATATTCAACAGCCATCTTGAACCCTATTAATAACCCTATACTAATATCGTTACTACAAAATGGAGGTTGGTGGTAGAAGGGCGAAAATTTAGGGTTATATGTATTTTTTGAAGCCAAATCTTAAAAAAATAAAAATAAAAAATTTTGTCCGAAAAATATAAAAAAAATTTTGGGTGGGCCCCGCTTATCACCTAGGGGTATAAAAAATAGTTTACGACCTATTCTCAGACCTACCGAATATAGACAGAAAATTTCATTAAAATCAGTCAAACCATTTCGGAGGAGTTTGGTTACACACACTGTAAAACGAGAATTTTATATATTAGAAGTCAATGAATTTACGATGTTTTTCTTTCCTTTTCCAGCAAACCCAGATGTTGTATCGCAACCAGAAAAACAATACAGAAATGCAACGATATTTTTGAAAGATTCATATTTGAAACTATTGGACGTGAAAAATAGATCTTTTACATTTCCAGAACCTGGTTTGAGAAAATAAATGTCATAATTATTTGAATTCAATTGATTCAAAAGGACCAAAAGATCAATATCTTGACCCACAACTATGACAGTTTTATTAGTATCTCTGGCAGTTTCTATCGAGATCTTAATTATGTCAGCAGCAGCATCTTCTTCTGCTTGGTTACAGGCAAATCCTTGTGACTATAGATTCCAAAAGTTTCTTTTAAGTCAGTCAATTCGTCACAATTCTCTGCAAGTAAATTTTCCGTAGGCCATTCAGGTATATAAGTTATCTTAAAATAGCAATAAATAGGCACCTATGTGTCCCATTCTTTAATAAATGCTCCAAATTTTACATAATAATTAAAAAACAAATTTTTGAATTCGAGTTTTTTCGGTTTTTTGCATTTCCTGTGAAAATTTGCCATAGTAATGTATAATTTTTTTACACCACCTGAAAGTAGAGATTTCAGCGAATAAAACGCACACCGATTTTTTTAAAAAAGCAAATATTTTGACGTGAGAATTTTCGATTGAAAATTAGGGTGGTTTTTCGATATTAAATCAAAATAAGGGGAAACAATAAATATTTTGAATCAAAAAAATTACAGTGAGTTTGGGACATAAATAGGTAAGTTTTCACCAAATTTCGTGATTTTTTTTTTTTTTGTGGGAGATAAAAATAAAAAACCAAAAACTCGGTTATTTGCATTTTTCGCGTAAATTTTGATGTTATATACAGAAAGTGTAAATACAAAAGTTACAGATCTTTTTATTACCTACAACTTTGCCATTTAACTTTTTGCGATAGCACTTGTAGTTTTGCCGGAAATCGTCATAAACCGTTTTCTACCCTTAAAAGCTTCCAATGGGTATCATCCTGTTCTAATTTTTTTTCACTTTTTACCATTTTCAAAGGCTTCGGCACAGGCCTAAAACTCCCAGCCCGCTACTCATACGTATTTTTTACTACTATCATCACGTAATAATAGTAATAATAATAATAACAGCAAATATAATCAAAACTTGTTAGATTATATGGCTGTCGTAAAATTAAGGTATTGTGAAACCCACAGGGGAGCACTTAATAATAAAGCAAACCCACAGTTGTAAATGTTCGACCAGTTTCTAATGACGTCACGCTAGCGGGAAATTTCAAACTATAATAATTTTATATTTTTCATGGCACACTGAAACTAGGTCTCTATTTTGTGTTCGCGTGCCCTCCGCTCGCGCATTTTTAAATTAAATTCTACCCACTCGCAAAAACGTAGCTCCGCCGCGGAATTATCGAATTTTCTGTGTACATTTGTCAGACAAATACTTTCCGAGAACTTACGTATTCGTGACAT